TCCTGACTGTGTTTCCCTGTCCCTGGTACTGACTGTGTTTCCCTGTCCCTGGTGCTGGTTGTGTTTCCCTGTCCTTGGTGCTGACTGTGTTTCCCTGTCCTTGATTGCATGTCCCTGTTCCTGACTGTGTTTCCCTGTCCCTGGTGCTGACTGTGTTACCCTGTCCCTGGTACTGAATATGTTTCCCTGTCCCTGGTTATTATTGCGTGTCCCTGTCCCTGGTACTGATTTCCCTGTTCCTTGTGCTGACTGTGTTTCCCTGTTCTTAGTGCTGACTATGTTTCAATGTATCTTCTGTTTCCCTGTGTTTCCCTGGCCCTAGTACTGACTGTGTTTCCCTGTCCCTGGTGCTGACTGTGTTTCCCTGTCCCTGATGCTGATTACGTGTCCCTGTCCCTGGTACTGACTGTGTTTCGCTGTCCCAGGTGCTGAATATGTTTCCCTGTCCCTGATACTGACTGTGTTTCCCTGTCCTTGGTGCTGATTGTGTTTCCCTGTCCCTGATGCTGAATATTTTTCCCTGTCCCTGCTGCTGACTATGTTTCCCTGTCCCTAGTTCTGACCGTGTCTCCCTGCCCCTGGCGTTTCTTTGTCCCTGATAACTCTGTTTCCGCCAAGGATCCCTCCAAGCGCGTGACAGCGGAGACAGAAAGCATCCTAATCTCCCCCAGACGCACGACTCCCTGACTACAGAAGTCGATACGTCACGGCCTCCATGTGCCACATTCCGCCAATACCCATACGGAAGCACATTGGTTATAACCAGTGCCGAATTGCATTTTTGACGCATTCAGGCCACAAGAATATTCACCCCTGTTGCAAATACTCGTGTGCAGTTAGTTGTACAGGCGTGCAAGAAGATTGGCTATGTATTGAAAATATTTAACATTAGCGCGAAACCTGAGCACGAGATTATTGTGCTCTTCTTGGAAGTCTCGCTCCTGATGTACTTGTTAAGAACCCATGGCCAGGCTTTCTTCTTCGATGTCACTTGGCGACAACAACATATGAACAGATAGGCCTGCCAACGGCTACCTGTTTCAAACGACTGCGCTGGTAAACCTTTCTACCAGAATATAGCTTGAAAAATGCAACATTAACAAGTCACCCGGAGGGGACCTCTGCGTCTCCACAAAACAGTCTTCTCGCCTTGAAATCAAGGACATGGCCCAGCGGCGAACCGACTATCTCACAGATAGGCTCGATCATTAATTTCTGCAGTATACACACCAGGCGGCCGGGGGCGCTTCATGCATCTTTCATAAGGAGCATGGAAGACTTAATAGTAATACTAGTAATACGATTTAATCCGGCGGCTCAGGCAGAGTGCCCCGGCGGAAGAAGAGGGTAACAAGGTTAATAGGAGTCATCTGGAAACCCAGGTATCCTTCTATCACGGGAAATATATATCATTTTTTGATTCGCCAAAACTACCTCATTACCCACTCGAAGTCTTGTGAGGCAGCTATGTCATATTTAGTAATTGTCTTAAACCAGCCTTGTTCTAGACCACTTGCAGTAGATAACTCATCGCCATGGATGGTTTATAACGTATAAACTTATTACCCTGCTGGCTAAAGTTTATTGAGTAACATCCTCAATTATACCCTTTCGATAAAACAAAGTACATGTATTGCAATAGTCCTGATCTAACCCACCGTACCCCGCAGCTGTATAGATGGAATGTGACAATAATCACATAACCTACCCAGCCCAGTGACGTCCGTCCCAGCGGGGAACCTGCCGGTATGTAATTATTGACATTGATCTCTCAGTACAGAACCGCCGGGAGATCTTTCATATTTTTCCACCCATTGCTCCGAATCAGGAGACACATGCATCAACGGGGGTTCTACACCTGGGCGCTTTCTCTGTTGCTTTTGTTGGTCCGCTCGCTGTGTTCAAGTTACCCTCCTTTAATGTAAGATTTATGATGAGAGGCTCGTTCTCATTCAAATGTGCAAAATGCTGTCACCACTCTGTACGGTTTGATATGAGCCAAATCAAGGACCTCATCATTGGTTTCTTCACTTTCCCACTACACTAACTATGTTTGACGAAAAATGTACCACAACATTAGGTTTGGTTGATGACTTGGAAGAAATTATAGCCGCAGGTTTGGAAAGTTCTGTAACCTGTTGCCGCAGATTGTCGCAAATGACCAACAAGTCACACTCTGCCCTCCGTCACAAGCCGCTGAATGTTGTGAAAAGCTGACCAATAATCGCCAATTAAAAAGTTCGACTACGTAGCAAGAACGAAGAATGTAACTGTATCCTTTACAACAGAGTGCACTCAATTTAACCTCCTTTCTTCCAAACACGGCCCTCGCGGCGCGCCCCAACCTTTAGCCCTGCACGCACACAGCCTCTTACGTATGGAATGCAGGTACACACCCCGGGGGTAGGCGCTGGTCTGACTGGTCTGACATAAACACACACACGCAAGCTCACACATGTTTACAGACATAGCTACGACTTCTGTATCCTGTAAATCTGCAGATTATCACCGAGAAGTCACCAGTCCTGTTGGGAGGTGAGTTGTACTTTCACCGATTTCTATGCAAACCTACATACTCTCTTGAAAAGGGGGTGAGAGGGCACAATTCGGCATATTGTGAATGCTTGCATTGGATTCCGCTATACCGATGTTTGTTAAGTGGCGAATTTGCAGTGCTATAGGTCTCCTGAACTCTTTAACTATTGATACGCTGCACTGATTAAAGTTTGCAGTTTTAAGTTTTTCTTGTAAGAACTATGTGCTCCAGTCCCTTTCTACCACCATTGGGAAACCCTCACTATGTTCATGTAAATGAAGAGGTAACAGGGGCAAACCGACATCACATTTGATCCCAGATCACGTCTCTCAGGGTGTTTTGAAGTATGAAAACGACCGTGCTTCTAACTGTTCCAAATGAGCTTTTCATTTGTGACAGAGTGAGATCACAGGGTGTGAACATTTACACCAAATTGCAGTTTTACGGCGAGACCTCGCCGACCCTTACCGAACCTACAATCATAAATTACTCGTAAGTGATTCATTGTCAGTCTCATCCCGTCTGTGTAACTGATCAGGGATGCGATAACAGGTAGGCCGCTCGCGAGTTGTTTGACAGAAACGTGGGAAACTTTTTATGTTACAGTCGACGGAGATTAGACTTTCCGGACCTTTAGGGAGGCTTTCTTCTGTTTTTTTTAGGAAGTAGGATGATTAAATTAAAGCATTGTTAATGAGACTGATGGTTCTTCCTTTTCAGCTAGTGCATGCACTGTGGTGAGCGACACGATATTGCAGTTTTTACTCTACATTTCAGTCGCGAATAACGTAGATTTGTAAAATGTCCTGATCATCAAAGGAATTCCAGGGACATCATTAAAGCTTAATTATCAGGAGTCAGCAAAACTTACCCAATTTTGCCACAGGCGGGTGTCAGTTAATAGTTGAAGGTCACGTTGACATGAAACAATGTGTCAATCCTAGCTGGGTTGTGGATGCCGCTATGGGCACACCCTTGGGCGCAGTTTTGTTCCGCCTGTGTAATTCGTAATTAACCAAGAATCAAATCAATCAAAACGAACCTTGTAATTTCTAGTTCCAACCTATCGTGAGGAGTAGCTGTCATTTTTGTGATAAAGTTTTGTTTGCCCGTTGGTATTTTTTTTATCTCTCGTTAAAATTTACGTTACGTACAGATGTCGATTTGTTTCAACTCACCCGGCATTCAGAATACACAATACAATCGGGCTCCTATCGATAATTACACCCCCGAGGTGCCCAGCATTGCGTGCCTTGCCTTGCCCGGAGCACCACAGGGGAACAAGGTAACCAAGGCTGTCTGACATCAAACACACCCGCCTGTCAGGTGCCATGGCATTCATTGGACCTAATCGTGCATGAACCGCCAATCAGGATCGTTCATTAGCTGTGCTACCACTTGATTGGTCAGCAGTACGTGTAACCTGTCATTTAGCCTAATCGTCGGAGGTAAATATTTCTTTTGGGATAGTTGGCCCAGCAATTGAAAGTACGTTGTCTTGGTTCAGGTTAGTCCTTGTCGGTCAGAAATATTCTGTTGTTCCAAACGGATATCAGCACGCGCCGTGCTTGGTGCCTGTTACCGCTTCGGGAGTGACCTATTAGTGGAATAATCGCTTTTGACATCGGCTTAGCCTAGGCACCAAAATACAACATCATATTCTTCTTCACCAAGGTAAACACGGCGATATGCAGGACAGCGACTCTCGGAACAGCGGAGCGGGGACGAGGGGCGGCCGGCAGGGCAGAGTGTTTAAAGACTACAAGAGGATCAAGTTGTCTCCCAAAGTGTGGCAGGACTGGCGCGCCAGACAGGAGCAGCTGGGCTTCACCACGGCGAACGAGCTGGCCAAATATCTCCTGTCTCTCAGGTAGGGGCTCAGATATCGTATTCATTGGTATTTAATCTTCACACAATGTGTACATACACGTAGCCATCTGAGCAAATGTAGATCCTTATGTACCAGCCTCTCCACACAGACAACTTTTCCCGTGAATGTTAATTACGAACGTGGTAATAAATCTTAATTCAATGTAATGTTTTGTAGCTATTGTGAGGTGGTATTGCCAACCTTACACTGGGAAACACCTGTTCTACTGTGCCTACACCATCTTGGTTCCCACGGGACTATTATCTGACGACACAATGACTATAACACCACTTTGTCTCGACGATTTGCCAAGACGAGCCCGCGTCTTAACCCTGAAAACGGTGACGATTTGTCGAGCCACGACGGGCTGTTTATCCAAACAAACTGCCCAGGTTCTGCACACAACGAACTGGTTATTCAAAACGCGTCTGTATATTTCGTTTGCCTTAAAACGGAAATCCCGCCAAGCCTGTCAGATTTAAGATGAAAAAACAAGCCCGTATCATCGTGAAGGTTTACTAGAACCTACTAGATTTGTACTAGAATTCAGTTGAAATGACATATACTTCCAAAGCACGTTATAGATGTTTCAGTGTGTACTAATTTACATGGGAGTACAACTGCTTGGTATGTACAACAGCACGCTTGTGATAACGACACCCGTCACACATACAATGCATGTCCCGGGACTTGTTTCCTGGCACTTCTATGTGTCAGTGCCAGGCGTGCTCACCATAAAAAAAATCTCATTATACGACCTCGGTTGGTGACTGCGAGACTTCAAAGTTCAAGGGAACGGAAGAAAATTCCAATGCTGAATTTTTCAGAATGAAGTTTGAGGCGCCCACCCGAATGTTTAGGATAACATGGCATGTTTTATTTTAGCGCGAAGGACGGAGGAGTCAACAATGCGGGTACAGGCCTGACCCTGGATCGCGCCGGGTTTAATGTACTGACCTCTCTCACGTTACGTTAGGAATTTCAATGTGGTTACCCCTGGGCGTACTTACGCCTCGTCTTTCATGTCACTGTAATTGAGCAATTTATAGGGTATTAAATCATTCACAACTCATTTTATACCACCTTACTTCTTTGATGGCTGTTTTACCTTTACCTTTACTTCTTTATGACCTAAGTTCTATGACCTAACGAAAGAAAAGCTGCCATTGTTTCTCAATTATAGGGTGTTGTTGATAAGGTGTTGATAACTGTCGTGGTGGTTACTAACACTCGTAACAAGTTTGCACGCGTTACAAAGAATTCATAAGAATGGCTGCAAAGAACCTGTAGAGAACTGCGTAATCAGCCTGACATATAGACCCCATCTCCGCACCGTCTTGCTCCCCACTTCTCCAACACCCTTTGGAATAATCCAGAGACATCAACAGTAAAGCCAAGGACGTTGCATTGAAGTGTGTTGGATTGACAAATTTGCCCCAGAGTAACAAACTATTGTTAATGTCATGTCAGTTCAGTGAACAAGCGAGCAGTCAGCGGCAATGTCACTCTGTAATGTCACATTGTAAGCATTGTATTTTAACAATGCAGCTGACTAGTACCTGATTATATAGCGGAATTACTACCGTAACATTATAGTGGAGTAGTAGAGGAAAGGAGGGTGAATAAATTAGATTAAAAGAGGCACCTATCCGTCGTAGACGACGGGAGAACCACGGGGAGAAAGAACATTACACTAGCAGGTCTACGGGGAAGTGTGTGTGTGTGTGTTTAACTCCCAGGCTTCTTCTCAGAAGCGCTGAATTCTGTGCAGAAAATGGCTGCACCTGTTAACCCCATTTGATCTCACACGCCCTAGTAGCAGCTAGTCAACAAAGGGAACAATAAAGACTCTCTTATATAAGCTGGAGGCAGAGCCAGTTTTCCTCATCCCTCCTAAAGACGCCCATACAGCCTGCAGTCCGTGCGAGTTAGCGCCTAATCCCCGGACCGCTGGTCTCCAGGCAGGAATGTACGGCAGGAAAATGAGAGCATTATGGTTCTATTCTGTATGTTCCCTGAAGTGTTGGGAGGAAGATAATGTTATCATAATTCATTGTGTGAGCTCAGTCTTTCTACACCCTTATCATGGTGCCAGTTGTCAAGCCCCTAACCATTGTTACATTAGTGCCATTTTTCTTTTCCTTTATCAGTCTGCACAAAAAGCCGCGGTAGCGAGGGGCAACGGGGCAGGCCAAACCTTACATGTTCTGAGCTTAACATGTTCTCAGTAGTATTGTGGAGGGTATAATTACTATTTTGGAAGGATTACAGGCTAGTGTGATTCATAACTCCGTAATTTGGGATAGGCTGGAAGAGGCGCGTGATTATAGGCATTTATCTCTGTTATTCCATTCTTTGTCGGCCCTACCTGCAGCCCTATCTTCGAGGCTCATCCTATGACAAAGGTAGTGAGAACCTACACAGTATAGCTAGAGTGACCTCAGTAATCTATAGGGATTTTAGAAATTGGCTTTTTTTAAATCAAGCATCTACGGGTCTCTAGCCTGAATGCCAGCCTTTTCAGCTTTCGTCCGCTCCCCACAATCTGCTACTGGCCAGAAGTGGATCATGGGGAGTGGACGAAAGCTAAAAAGGCTGACACTCAGGCTAGCGTGTCTCGGCTCACGTCAATCTTGCAGGACTTATTGTATCTATATGATTGTCACCCTCTGGGACACCTACACGTTTCGGACTTACCAGGTGTGATTTGATCTCAGATAGACAAGGAGATAAGACTAGCTCCACGCCCTGAGCTACACGACTACATGCCTCAGTACCCAACTTACAAAACGTCTCATGTCCAACAACAAGGCGACTTGACCAGTGTTGGGAATATGGACGAGCCTTGGGGTATCTTTGGGACAACAACAGTGACTTATGACCAGGGGACCTTTCTCAAATTGCTTCTTAAGACAGTAAGCCGTAAGAAGTGACAATCAAAAATCACTGACCCCGAATACCTCTTGTCGCAAGCCCGTTGGATACACCAGGGAGGTTAGACACGCAAGACATGCCTGTCAACTGTACTGGAGTGTTACAAGTAGTGACTAATAGACAGTATTGGAAGGCTTTCAGTACATTTTTCAATAGATAGGAATTGTCGCCGTCCTTGTAGATGACATACATACCACCTTTCACACTTGTAAACCATTAATGTGTTTTAATTAAAATAGTCCTGACGGCAAACAGTTGCCGGGCTACGGAAGGCAAAAATACCAAATTGAGTTTGGTTTGGAAAGTCATTCCCAACAAATGTAAGGGTATCTCAGAATATTATCATCTATTGAAGTCAAGCACTATAAACTTTGAATTAGATTTTGTCTTTTATAGACCGGGTAGATAAGAGAATCAAGAAATGTTTTGACAAGCAGGTTCGTTTGTAAATTACGAAGTTGATGATTGAAGAAAGCTGGTGTGTATGTCACCGTGAGTACTAGTAGTTTTAAATACGACCTCTCGAGAATTGTTGGTTTTATACTTGTGTCGGCATGAACAAAGGACGTCCAGTGACCCAGTAATAACACAGGCGGCGTGGATGTAACGAGGCATGAGGGTGGAGAAAAACCAACAAAACAAAAACAGGCGAGATGCGTCTCCTGACGAGGATTGTCGTGCTATAATAGTTCTTAAACTCTGAGGCATGGCTGCTACAGGAAGCAGTTTGAGTTGTCTGTGTGCGGAGCGCGTTCATCATTACGTATGCGTGCGGCGTCCGCGAGGTTAGGGCGCGCCACGGAGGTCAGCATGGGGCGAGATTGAGTGGCTTGACAGGAGATTGATGACATAATAGTGATAATCATATATAATCATTGTTATTATCATGGTTTCGGTCGTTAGGCTCTAAGTATCGGGCAACCTTTATGTCGTACAGTGGAACTATTTTGTCGTGCGAAAATTGGCACATGCATGTTGAGGATAATATTTCTCTGCAGATCATAACAAAGCCCACCATTTTCCCATTCCCTGCAGTACCGATCATGTCAGGAAGGTAGAGGGCGCTGGAGACACAGCTGGCAACACGGAGACGTCTGCGTCAACAACAAGCTGGTAAGTCATCTCCACCGTGGTACCGTGTTTGGTATTATGTCTCCACACACTCTGAAGTGCACGTGGCAACGTTACAGAGAGGGACATGATATCTGTATACTGTATATCTGTACCTCCAAAGATCAAAACTTTCAAAGATCTTTCACAATGTTGTTCTTTAACTGTATAGTTGTAACTGTTAACATTCCACCATTACGGAATGCACAGTATCCCCTCGTCGACCGACAATTAAAGGTCGAAATCAATTTAGGGGACTGTTTGCAAATATCATTAGCGCATAAACCATATGCTTCATAAGCTGGACAAAGCCTTGTTCAACTTTGTACAGCTACATCATGAGGCACTGCGGTAGCAGAGACTGTAAAATCACGGATTTATGATTAAGTGTTATCAGAGGTCAGCATTGATATCTTTTCTCCGTTTGTGTTACAAGGCTTGGCCAGCTGTCGACACCGCAGGGCAGGACTCCCGTCTTGACCGGCGGACCGTACAGTGACCTGTCCCCGACCTGACCACGGCGGGCACCCGGTCCAGGGCGACCTCATCGAAGTGATGCAGATTGCGTCTTATTTCATCTAAATGATATAGATATGTTTATAGAAATGGTTGTAGAAAATATGTGTTTCGCTCTTTTGTAACACAATCTCTGGGACCTTACATTATGGTTGTCATGTCACCTTATTTTGTGCGCTACTGCATGTACATTTATGGTATCGTGCGGTATAATAATTAACAACAGAACCTTTTAGAAAGATTCCGAGGAAGGAAGATTGAACTGTTGATGTGAGGAAAACGTGGCAAGGCAGAGACAATGACACAGGCGCACTAATAGATGACAGTTTTGTTGTCATGACATTATTTTGTCTTTTTTTATCTCTCGGGAATAAATGTATAGTGATAAGAATTATGACGCTATGGGGCTCACGATGGTGTTGATAAGTATTAAAGATGTCGCTTGTTTTTGTATCGATGTGAAGGGTGACTGTGTTTCATGATGTTCCTGTGGTTTCCATCCTTAACCAGACAAACAGATCACAGTCTAGACATTATAAGATAAGTATTCACTTGGCTAAACATTAACAGAAAATGAAAAGTAGTTGATTTGGTCATCTTACCGACGCATGAGTTTGCATATATGGTTATGGCCGCCCTGATTTAATGGATTATTGATTGGTATTTGATATCATATCTGTACATGGCACGTCAGATAAGTGAAAAGAGAAATCAGGAAAATCCAGATTATACTTTTTCGAGTCAGAAAAAAGGCACGGTAACGTCATGATTCTGTCTATGTGCTCAGCAAGCCAAAACGGAAGTTCCCGCGGCACTTCACCTCCAGCCTGCTGGAGGGCGCACCTCTACCGCACCTCCACCATGAACTGTGGGAAAGGTCAACTTGATCCCGCAGGTGCCTTATGAGTCTCACGTTATCTTGAACACGGAAAGGAAAACCTCAAGTTAATGATTTATCTTCATTGTTAATCATGAACGAATATAACTCGAGTACGTCGCAGAAAAGTAATGCCAATAGTGTGAAAACGGTGACATGAAGAGATCATCGGAAGGCCTTAGAGATTATTGGTCTAAGATCATTGGGGAGTATCGAAATGTCACTTAGATCATGAATGGCATATATAGCATATATATATATTGATATCATAACTTGATATCTTAAATCACCTTTGTGCTCACGGAAAGACCATTGAAAGATTTGTCAAATGCTTGAACGCTCAACGGCCTCGCCTCTATGGGGACAGTGCTTAGCAAGGGAACAGCGATATTGCAGAAGTAGGCACTTAGCGCCTAAATCAATTACAATGTACACAACTAACGTTCTTGAATTTTGTTCTTCCTGTTAATACCGTGTTACAAAGGAGAGGTAATTGTGGCGGTGTTTCTTCCAACACGGCAATGTTCACGGTTTCTCTAAGTTAATCCTCAGTCCGTTGGAGCGTACAGAAGGCACATTGGCAATATATTACCATTTCACCCAGGCTTAGACCCAGAACAACCCGTTCCCAGTACTACAGATTAACAACGGAAACTGCCTTTATCAATCCACCTAATGTTCGTCACACCGTGGGAGTTAAGAAATTGTTTCCCAAAACATCGTAACTAAGGAACACAAAGGGTGGATTGAAATTTGACAACTGTCGTCATCGCGTAATGAGAACTAATTATCCACTAATGGCCTGGGAAGTTTTGACCTCGTCGAAAAAGGAATAAATGCAATATAAGGGCTGGAATGTTTGAAAGGGCACTTCTACATTTTTAAAATCTACTCTACGGATATCAGTGCCTGGCTTTAACTGGGATTCAATAATGGGTTTCAATAATCCACTTAAAAGTGGAGTATACGCTATTAGGTTAGGAAATCAAGACTAGCACGGCATGTCCCCAGGGCAAAGACTCCACAGGCACGGACACAATTTCCTATCGGGGCAGCCGGTGACGATTTCTGTGTTTCTCTGTTTTCCCTCTAGATAAATTTGGTTCTCTCGGAATCAAACAGACTTACACAGACAGAGCTTATGTGGTTATATACGTTTATTACACACGTGTGTCGCAGGTACAAGGAACGCAAAGTACAAAACGTATTACAGGGTTACAGGAAGCGAAAGCATCAGAACGTCACTCACAAGTATTTCGTTCTACACGTACAACACATCCCGACAAACATTCCAGTGTCTCAAGACGAAGCACAGGAAACATCGTCTGGGCAGGACACTACTTCATACTACTGCGGTTGTTACATTTGGTGCACTTACAATGAAGGAATGCAAGTTGCCATAGTAGAATGGATAATATAGCAATTTGGAAACCCTTCCAAATACAGGAAACATTTTATAAGTGACTAGTGCATTTGACTAAGATCAGGGCACACCACACAATAATTCCGATTCGTTGTCCGTAATCCGCGCTTTTCAAACACATCAGATCATTGTCATGAGTTCTAAGTTCTTTCAGGTGTTACATATCAATAAAGTCAATGAAAAGATGGACATTCGAGGATGTTTAATTTTTAGCAATCTTTGGTGACAGCGGAATAAAATATATTTGGGCTTGGGTATGTTGAAACAGGACGTAAATGTACGTGCTATGTAAACTTAATACGTTGACAAATACAACAAAGACAGATTAGAGCGTACTGAGATTCTCGTTCTTACTATCAGAGCTGGAATTGTACTATTCCCACAAACAGATGTGTTTGGTGGCTGGTCGATCGGGTCCGTAGCTTACTGGACGTGGATGGCCTTGCCGGGTACGGTGCCTGTCTCCAAATCCGCGCGCCCGGGGATGCTGTTGGCTCTGTTGGGAAAGGTATCAAACCCAGTTAGCAAGACACTGGAGGAAACAGTATAACAAAGTCCGATTTCTAAAGCAACTCTGGTACGCGGGGGCTTCCACTGGCGGAAACCTGAGAGAACTACTGGTATCTGGTAGGTTAGAATTGTCATTCGGGCACTGTCTACGAACTGGGAACACAGACAATGGCAGGAGGTTAACACGTCTTTTCTCACCTGATCATCCTCCTGGTCTGCACCATCAGTCCGACAGCGAGCAGCAGCATGGCGGTTCCCGCCACAAGGACGGCGATGCTGGAGCCCTGCACGCTGCTGATCTTCCTGGCCTCCGAAGAAGACTCTCCCAGGGTCGCCTCCCTGCCCGTTCGCTTCAAAAGCTTCTGTTGTAAGTCTTTCAGTCGTTGCTGTTTTTCCTCGCGACTCATCTTGGTCTTAGCGCCCTTGCCTTTTGGTTTAGGCGTTGTCGCCCCTTCTTCTTCTTGTTCCTCTTCATCTTGGTCCTCCTCCACCATGCCACCGATGTAGTCGGCAACTATTTTCCTCACATATTCATTCATCTTCCCCGCAACTGCTTTCTTCATCTGTTTCTCCTCTTGGACGTCTTGTTCTACCTCCGCCTCAGTTTTTTCCCACCATTTCTTACCTTGAGCCTTCCCGTTTTGTCCAGCCTTCCCGTTTTGTCCAGCCTTCCCTTTTTGTCCAGCCTTCCCTTTTTGTCCAGCCTTCCCATTTTGTCCAGCCTGTGCTTTCTCTCCAGCCCGCCCTTGGCCTCCAGCCTGTCCTTTCTCTCCAGCCCTCCCTACGCCTTCGGGCCTACCAGCATGGTCAGGGCGATCACCACTGCCTTCACCTGATCCATCTCCTGAAACGTCGTCCTCGTCGTTGCTCTTGTTTTGATTCTTGTTTCTGGGGTGATCCGAGCTGAAATCACTACGCCCGCGGCCCTTCTTGGCCCCAGTCTCTTCTTCGTCACCGGTTTCCCCGCGGCCCTTCTTATTGGGTGCTGCTCTGGCGCTTCGGCTCAGTACTTCCTCCTCTGCGACTTCGTCATTGGTCTGCTCTTTTTCCGTCAATACTTCAGTCAGAGTTTGCAACATCATTTCCTCTAAATCGTAATTGATCTCTTGTTTGACGGCTTCAATCATTTCCGTTTGTTCCATTTCCTTTTCGGCGGCTGAGGTTTCTGCAGTTTCCTGGGCTGGTTCCTCAACTTCCTCTGGTTCTTCCAGTATTTCCACTTCTACCGCCTCCTGCTCCTCTTCCACTACGTGTTCTTCCTGTATTTCCTCTTCCCGTTGTTTTCCATGGTTCTGCCGTTCTGCGTTGCCCCTTCTTTCCTCTCCTGACGGTCTCCCCCGTGTCTGTCCTGTCTCCGGTCGTGAACCTCCCCTTTCCTGGTTCGCCGATCCTCCCTTTCCTTCTGGCCTTCGGCCTTGCTGTGCAGCGGAACCACCTCTTTCCTGATCCTCTGAACCTCCCCTTTCCTGGTTCGCCGATCCTCCCTTTCCTTCTGGCCTTCGGCCTTGCTGTGCAGCGGAACCACCTCTTTCCTGATCTTCTGATCCCTCTTCCGAAGGTTTCCCCCGTGCACCGGAGCGCCCCTTTTCCTCTCGCGGCGGCCCCCTCTCCCTCTCTTCACCGGAGCCTTCAGTTTCCTCTTCCCCTGATCCCTCTACCGACGGTTTCCCTCCCGACGGCCGCCTCTCTGCAGCGGAGCCTCTCCCTTCCTCTCCCGACTTCCCTTTTCCGTCTGGCCTCCGCCCCTGCTGTTCCTCCGATGATGCCCTCCCCTTGCCTTCTGGCCTCCGGTCCTGCTGTTCCTCCGATGATGGCTTCCCCTTGCCTTCTGGCCTCCGGTCCTGCTGTTCCTCCGATGATGCCCTCCCCTTGCCTTCTGGCCTCCGGTCCTGCTGTTCCTCCGATGATGCCCTCCCCTTGCCTTCTGGCCTCCGGTCCTGCTGTTCCTCCGATGATGCCCTTCCCTTGCCTTCTGGCATCCGCTCCTCCTGCTGAGACCGGTCCCTCCCTGCCTGTTGATACTGTTCGCGGATAGACGTCTGGGAAGAAAACGAAGATACATGAATACCCACGACTAAACGCAACAATGTAGAAATCTGCATCCTGGAGTACCATTGTCTGTCGTTTCATCCACATTAAAAAAGTTAAGTAAGCTCTCTCTTTGAGAAGCTTTGAACAGACAAAAACACAAACCCACGGTGACAGTGACCTGATTCTGCCGAGCAGAAACAAGTTCAGCTAGATCTATCATGACAATTTCTACAAACGCCTCCAGCATGTTGCCAGCTCGTGGCCTTTATATTAGTCATTTTATATTAGTAATAACGGACAAGAATTCTCTTACCAGGAAGGTTTCTTCCCCGGCTGCGCCATCCGCCCCGGACTGCGAACCCGGGCTGAGTTCTTGTATTTTCGCAGCAGCTTTGTCGCCAACGTTCTCAAACCGACTCCCTCCTGACTTCCTTCTTCCAGTTCGAGCTGTCATCAAAGGAAATCGTATACTTAAACGCTTTCTATACTTGAAATCATTCAGTAAAATCATTCAGTACTAATTACTAGGAACGACAAGGAAAAAGTAAGATTTGGTTGAGTGTCACACAAGATTTTGAAAGGAAAGAATGGTAGGACTATACCTGTGTAAGACACTACTCGCGCCACACGATGCCCTTTTCAAAGTACCCAATAGACGACAAACGCGTACAACAGTCAACCCACCTTCTGCTGCGTCTTCATTGTCCGTCACAGAGGTCTAAGGGGAGCAGAAAAAAGGTTCTTCATAAGCATACATGTACGTGTATGTACTTAAATAATGCAAATATATAAAAAAAACACATTTGGTAATCTCATTTCACAGGAACACATCTTCTACCTGTTCCTGCACGAGCCCAGAAGTGGCCTCAATGTCTTCGCTGGTACTTTTCTTGCCGGATGTCCGTGACTGCTTTGCTTCACTGTAGGTCATCGTCCCGACCAGCAGCAGCAGGACGAGACACAACTGTGCCCGAGACGCCATCGGTGCAGCCCCGTTTAAACTCTGCAAATTCTGCAAAGACTATCTGGTCTGCTGGTGCTTGTAACGGCGAGGAGGATCGGTTGTAAGAGAATGGGTTTGGACTGAACTTTCCGGCCATATTTATAGGCATGATGTTTTGCTCGGCACATGTCTGGGCACAACAATGGTTTAATTCAGTTTGACACTGTTATGTTTTGGGAAGTCTCTCGACAATGGACATGTAATTAGATGTTTAGGTTAAGCTGGGATCAAGTACCTTAAGTACGTCAGTCCACGTAAGCCGGCGTAATCCTTTCCTGTGTCTAAAACTGCTCTAACATCATTACCTACTCAAGCTTTTCCTTAAGTTGCATGCGTCATGCAAATGGACCAGCTCAAAGGCATTGTTATAGCAGTATCTTACAGAGCAAATAATGGAAATAAAGAAATAGGTTGACCGGCAACTGCTTGTTGTGTTTGGACTCGGATGATGTCTTTACCATGTTTACGGCATGTGAAATGCACATGTCCGTTTCATCAATGCATTTATGGGATATTTGAGTCGTGTCTACCCCGATGCTGCTGCAAGGCACGTGTAGAATGTGTTCTATCACGTTCAGCGATGCCGGTGCATTGTTGTAGTGGCCGAACACTCTAGACAAAGATGGTTGTTTATTATTCAATATCAACCAAAAGGTTACGTTTGACGTAGTTGCCCAATATTTTATAATTAGATAAATTAGAATTCCTTTGCTTCATTATGCTTGCGCATAGCGTGGGAATGGGCAGTTTCAATTTTAGCACGACAACTTCCAAAAGAAAGAGTTGCCAAAGTAAAACATCCTAATCTTTTAGGCCTGTTATGCTGAAACTCAAACTGCCCATTCCCACACTTTGACGCCAGCACACTGATATAAAGGAATACCTGCGTCATGCCCGATATGAGTCCTTATGAGATAATCCGTTGCATCTTAGCTTTGGTGAGCTTTGAAACCGCAGTAAATGCAACGACGGGAGACCTTTAAAAAAGATATTATCTGAGACAAACTACTTTGGTCCAAACATCCATTACCGAAAGACCGTGTTCCAAAACATGAGATTAAGCGGTTCTTGGACTGGAGAGAAAAGAATGAGAGCGTTACAAGGGCAAGGACGCTCGAAGTCAGGACATCAGGCCTGGTACAAAATTGTCTACAAATAAGGACAACATATGAACCGAACAGAGACAGTTTTCTCCACACTTCGCACGAGTCCATTGTCATGAATAAAGTGATAGATTGGGGAGGTGTGCTGTAAACTTTCATTTGGAAATAAATGAAAGTTGAGGGACTACATAACCATACAGCACATGTTGTCGCATAGTTTTCAAACATGAGAGAAAAAATAAGCTGGCTGAAACGGTTTCTCAGCCACAACCCAAGAGATATATGGCATATACAAGCTCTCACTTGTATATATTTTTGTACCATGTATGTGTGAAATTTGTGTATAGATTTATTAGGATTTTAAATGATTTAAACCTCATCTTCATCTTGACATATTTTGTCTGACCCTTAGCTCAATGAAAAGCAGCCTGCAGGCCGACGTGAACTTCTCATGAATGAAGAATGGTTCAAACAAGCATATGACCATGTCCGTTGCTATATTCACATGTACACAATAATGAGGCAACACAGAAGACGCTGATGTTGTGTTTTTGTATCGTATTTATCGAGTTTTAAGCGTGCACGTTTCAGCTATGACGTAAGGCTGCTAGAGATTGCTTACATCTAAAATAGGTACATTTCTGAAATTGTCATTTAGAGCGACAATTCATGCAAAACATGCTAAGACTAAACATAGCGTCATGTGGGTACCGGGTCTGGTCTGATCGCCTTCGCCAAAGCCGGGTAGTCTAGATGTCGAGGTTGGTGGCCGGCTGGGTGGCTTTGCCTTCATGGCGAGGCTTCCTGAATCTGCAGAGAAATCAACAACACCCATAAGTCTTCTTACAAGTAAAGGGTGTCATAACAAGATGTCCTCATCCAATGGTTATTTAACTCTCTGTGGTATGGATGTAGTAAGTGTAACGCACCTGACTGCCAGCATCACCCCGATGACGACTGCAAACAGGGCTGCTCCAGTCACAGCGGCGACCACAGCGAACATGTTCGGTCCCTGGACGGCAGCGTTGGGATTTCCCTCTTCGGCATCGCTGTGCTGGGCCACGCGCCGCGCCGCCGAGACGTCCAGCAATGTATCCGAGACGTCCTTTGTGTTGAAGCGATATTCAGGCTCTTGCATGGGCATCGCAAAGTCGCGGGAACTGACGGCCTGGCGTTTTTTCAATAGCGATGCAAAGTCCTCTAGTTTGTCAGCTGTTCCCGGTTGGGCTAGGTCACTTCCGAAGCTGGTTTCCAACTCGACATTTTCAAGCTGCGGCTCTTCCTTCTCATCTGCGTCAAAGTTCGGCTCCAGTTCGTCACCGACTTCCAGTTCCTCCAGCGCCTCCCCCAGTTCAAGCATCGGTTCAGCATCCTCCATTGATTGTAACATGAAGGCAGGATCGTCAAACTCGTCTTCTGGATCAGGTTGAAACTCCGGCTGTTCGCTCTCATCACTCATCTCCTGATCTTCCAGCTCTTCTTCCAAACCAACTGCCGGACCGGGAATTTCCAGCGATACTTCGTCGTCAAGCCCATTGTCCAGCTGAAGTTCTGGGTCGATGTCTTCGTTTGGTTCAAACTCATCTACTAATTCTCCAGAGCTGTCTGGTTCAGGTTCTGGATCTTCGTCAACTTCTTGTTCGTCGATAGTGTTGTCTGGGAGCTCGTCATCTGTGCTGTTCTTCGGGTCTTCGTTGCCTTCTTCTAATGTCACCTTGTTGTTATGGGTGACTATGGTGTACGGCCTGTGTTTTTCGTTCTTTATACGAAGCAGGATATCATTGACGGTCTTGGTGTCGACTTGACCACTTTGCAGCTGTTCCCGGAGTTGCTTCTGTGGGACGCCGCGGCTGCGCGAGACCTGTTCTACAGCCCGAACCGTGATAGGTGCGCTGAGGAACATGTCGAGCATGCGCTGTGTTTCTAGTAACCGAGCTTCCTGCAGGTGTTGCACCTCTGCGATTGCCGCCTCTTTTGACATTTTCATGAATTGGTAAAACACTCCAATCCACTTTCTCCAGTCACTCCGACTGCGGAGCACTTTGAATGCGGCCATGGACGGTATATCTTTGTCACAGAACCTACTGATAATGGGGTGACCAGTGTCAATCGTACCACAGATGTGCGACTTAACAGCATCCAAGACTCTGCGACCCCTTTCCCAGGCCTCTTGTCCTCGTAGCTGGTACCTTCTCTCACCGGCATCCCGCTCATATGGAGGGGGAGGAACCTCTTTCACAGCAGTGACATTTTCCGGTGATGTGGCGTTTTGCGGTGAATTGACCTGGTTTTCAAGATCATCCACGATGGTAGTAAGACCTTGCAGGCCAGATCTGAATTTGAAAATTAGCTCCTGCACCAGCGCGTCATCATCGTCAGCGTCGTCGCCGACGTCTTCGTTGTCGTCATCCTCGTCACTTCCTTCTTCATCCTCATCATCATAGTCGTTTTCATCCTCATCTTCATCGTACTCTTCTTCATCGCTGCCATCATCTTCGCCTTTCTCGTCGTAGTCATCGCTTTCCTCTTCGTCGTCATCACGGTCGTCTTCATCATTTTCATCATCATAATCGTTATCGTAATCATAATCAGAACTGACATCCTCGTCACTGTCGTCTTCGTCAATGTCATAAGTGTCGTCTTCAACGTCATCAACATCACCGTCTTCGTCGCCATCATCATCATCATTATTGGGGTCGTAGTCCTCATCTTCGCCGTCATCGTCCTCTTCGCTATCGTTGTACTCATCGACGTCATCCTCCTCCATCTCGTTCTCGTTCGCATCATCGGTGGGATCGATAACGGTCATGATAGTTTGGTGGATAGAAGCGAAATGATTGTGCATGGCGTCGCGAGCAGCATCCATAGATGCCTTAAGGCCATTGCCGTAGACACGAGTGCCGAGTCTCTCAGACTTGTCGATACTTTTCTCCAACTTTTCTAGGTCGCCCTCCGTTTGCTTTACCAACATCTCAATTGTCGCCAGCTGATTCAGCTTGGGGCTTTCGTTACCGCCCTTGGTGTCTATCATAGAAACTGGCGGCTGCGGAAACTTTACCCACCGTGGTTTCTGCTGTGCCCCCGTCAAACCACTGAAGACATTTGCCCGTGTTTCTGGCACATTCTTCCCATACGGAACAGGACGGCTATACTGGGAATAATGTTGATTATAGCTCGGAGGCAGCGTGTTTATTGCCTTCCTTGCTGCCACCATTGCCCTGTTGACAAAATCACGCATGGTAGACGGAAAGAGTTCGTTTCCCTGAAAGAGGTTGTACTTTGTGTCCATGGGATTGACGAAAAGAGATCGCTTCATCCTGGCCGATACATCGTCATTTTGAGGACCAGTCGCTCTTGTTGCTGTTTGTTCTCGAATTTTCTCCGGTAACGAGAATCTTTTTAGAAATGCGATGATGTGCTCGAGCCTTTTCTGAAGACGTTTAGTTTCGGGTGACGAGTCGGTTTCATTGTTCATCTTTAACGATTTCTCTATCTTCGCTTTGTACATGTTAAGCCTTGAGTATACTTGTCGTTTCCAGTCGCGTGGACGTTGTGGTTTGGACGGCTTCTTCTATAAGCATACAAATTATAGAGACGAAGGATAATCTGTTGTTTCGAAGGCATCGGTATCGTGAAAAGGGACGTTTTTTTGAATGAGAATCATCGGGCATGGTGAGGTAACAGTGATATTTAGAATTCTTAATTTGAACAGTCACGGGAACAAATAGACATACTGCTATACACCAAAATGATTCCTGAAGAACAATGTTATAGTAACCCAAGAGGGCGACAATGACTATTTGATCTAAAATGCCTTGTGAGTGAGATGGGTCAAGCAATACATTTCAAACGTTTCAAAAGCCATAAACATTTACTGATTGACACAAGCTGCTAAGGACAGACAATTGTGGACTGCAACATTGAAGGAAACGTCGGTCGAGGTCTAGAGATAATGTTGGCAAAAGCGTAAACATTTTCAAATTTACAGACAACCGTTCTGATAAAAAGCAGTGTAATTGTATCAACGCAAAAAAGCGTAGAAGTGTACAAAAAATGGACATACCCTTGGGCTAGACATGGTCTCCTCGTTCCTCTGAAAGGGACGGACGTCAGACGATCGCTTGGTCCTGGCGTGTAGCGGCCGTGCAGTGTCGTTTGACGCACCAGATGTGCCATTTGTCGACGTTTCCTGCCCGGCACGCGTCACATCCCTACTCCTGGACAACCGTCTGTTGTACAGAAGCCGTTTCTTCACAAGTGCGTAGTGGCGCTGGAGCATTTCCTGGAGACGCCTGGACTGGGGCGATGTGTCGTTCGAGTAGGTCTTTAGAAGTTTTTCTATCTTCTCTTTAAGTGTGTTGAGTATCCTGTTTGCTTGTCGTTCCCGTTGCCATCGTTGCGGTGCCGGCCTCGTCATCTGCAAGCAAAAATAATCATACAAATTTACTCTAAGCAGAAGGTATTTCATTGTTTGAAAGGGAGTTATGTTCACATGATAAAGTAGGCATTAGAATATCTACATGTACGAGTCGGAGCTTTGTTCAATAAACGGCATTAATTGCGGCAAATCGCTATTAAGTTCCATTGATATGAACACAACGTTGTAACATTGTAATTAAGTGACGTAGAAGTAACGCAGATTACACAAATGGAGTGCCCGCTGATGGTGATAAAATGCCATAACCTTTACGGAGGGTCATGTTGAATGTTTGTCATGTTTGTAAGCAGATCTACAGAATTAGGTTTTGTCTTGTAGATAAATATAGGCAATGCAAATGTTGAGACTATGTCTCATCATCATCACTTGAATGCGAATTGCCATGATGAGCAGTGGTATCGCATCAAAGCCAGCCAGTGCAAAACCTACAAGAGATGGTATTTTGTGGGACTTACGTTAGATGATCGTCTGTTCCTGGAAAGATGCACGTTTGTTCTTGACATTGCCTGTCCACTGGTTGTTCTTCGCGTTGCTTTTTTCACAGGGCGGTTGGTCGGATTTTCAGCGCGTAAAATGTCTTTCTTCAGCATTGCGTAGATGGACTGGAGCCTTGTCTGTATACGAGTGTATGACGGCTTGTCGAAGAGCTCTGGCTTTAAGATTTTGTCCATCTTTGCTCTGATTAAGTCGAGCTTTTTCTGAGCTTGTCGTTGCCGTTGTTCTTCCAGCTGCTGTTGCCGTGTATGTTTTGTTGCAGGTTTACGCGTCCGTACTTGCCTTTGCCAAGGGGTGGTTTTCTGTAAGCAGTGAAACCGAAAAACCGAATGAATGTAAAAAATACCCAAGGGAGGAGGGATAAAAGAGAGAGGAAAATGTCTGACTCTGTTTTAAAGGAATCAGGACTTTTGGGCATGGGAAACAATAGAAGTGGTGAAAAACATTGCCGAGTTAATCTTGATGTCTAAAAGTGGAAGCTTCAGTTGAAGAGATGCTTTTCGTACATCGTACATCACGATTTTACAACAACATAACCACTTATTAGACAATGGTTTGCAATGTCTGATATTGCAAACTTTACGAGGCCATTCGGTTGATAATTGTAAAATACCGTGACCTGCAAGGTGGAGTATGAACAAATGTTGTTCATTTCTATCCATCTACACATTCATTCATATACACATCTGAAATACATGTACATGTGCATCCACAGACTGACACAGGTTACAGAGTACAATTCGCAACTACACACACAGAACTTCCTGACTTCTACACATGTATTCAATTGCTAGCTGTCGTGAAATTTAGAACGTAGTAAGCTTAGTGCTGTATGTTAGCAAACCACTGATGAAATGTAGAAAAAACTTGACTTACGCGACTGTACTTGGGTCTAGATCTAGCGGCAGCAGTCGAGTTCCTGGTGTTCCTGGAGTTCTTCATCTTTCTGTTCCTCAACCTTTCCGTATATCGTTGCTTTACCCTGGCATCGGTGTGATCACGCCAGTTGCCTCGGTATTTCCTCGATGTCATTGGTCGCGGTGCAGTCTTGGTTGGCCTTTTATCGCGTTGCAATCCACTTCGTTTCCGAGAGTTCTCCTGGCCAGCTCCACGATGTTTGTCAGTTACACGATGTTTGCCAGTTATACGCTCCTTACCAGTTACACGCTCTTTACCAGTTACACGCATGTTGCCTTGGTCTTTTCTTCCTGGTACAGCCTGGGTTGGCATTATTTCACGTTGCATTCCACGTTTCCGCCAGCTCGCTGGAATACCGCTATGTTGACCAGTTGCACGCTCTTGTCCAGTTCCACGCATTTTGCCTTGATCTTTTGTTCTTGGTCCTTTCTGGGGTGGCATTATATCAGGGTGCATTCCACTTCGATTCCGATAGTTCTCTTTGCGAGCTGCCTTAGCTCTCTGACCCCCTCTCGCCGAGTCAATCCGATGATTTCTCAGGCGACGGCTGTGGGGCTGCGGAGAGGAAGGCGCTTGTCCGGGCAGGGGTGGTTTGTTTGGCGGCAGCTCGTCTCCCTTCCTCCTGATCTCTGGGCCAGCAGGTAAGTCAGGCTTGTGTTGATACATGTACGGAAAGGGGCGTTTTCCGTTCATCATCTTTGCGTTCGGCAGTGCGGGTCGCTTCTTCAGCTTTTCCAAGTAGGAAGCTGGGTAGCGCTTTGATTCTAAAGAAACCGGATAATCCTCTCTTTGCTTCATCTTATTCAGATCCTTGAACCCCGGCCTCGCGTCTGTCTTGCCGTAACGTGGTTGATCGCCCGTCTTGGTGGAGATCAGTTTGCTCGCCTTGCCGCCCAACCTTGCTGCCAGCCTCCGTCTGTCTCCCGGCTCAAACACGGGCCTGCCCGGCGGGGCGCTCATGGGTGCCGGCATTTTGCTAAATGGGTTCCCTGTTGTGTTGGTAAAGTGTTATGTAACATTGACTAGCAAGGACTGCCCTTAACATGTTCACTTTGTACGCTAGGAGATAGACATAACATAATTCTAAGGGAACAACTTCCCCGTAAGGGTAATCTCGACCAGCTCTTTCTGCGGACTGAACAAGATGGTAGCTTTGAGATTTCCTACTTCTCTGTCAATAACCCCCCCGGGCAAAAATTTCTACTTTTTTTTTTTCAGTCCGTAGAAAGGTACAGGTGAGAAATATGTGTTAAACGCCATAATGCAACTGTCCAATACAACATCAATCCTTGAATTTAATATTTCATTATTCTTACCTGTGCGTGGGTCCACTTTGTCATCAGAGTAGCCTGGATAGGGACCTCTGGCTTTGGCCGCTGCAGCAAAGATGCCCTTTTTGGTGTCTTTCCTGTCATCCGGAACTGGGTCTACGTCGTCATCAAAGTCGTCGAGAAGTAGAGGGCCCTTGGGTGGTGGTACTGCGGGAATGTCCTTCGCGTCTTTGCCGCCATCCGGCGCTGGGCGAACGTCATACGTTGCAGCAGCGGGATCGGATGGTGGTGTGGGGGTGTCGGTGTCCGGAGGAGCGGCAAGGCTGTTACTCACAACCATGCCCGCCATCAGCGCGACCAGAAGCCACCTGGCCATGGCTCTCTGAAACGGTAACATTACCTCTTGTCAAAACTTAAGCGGGTGAAAATGTAGCAACAATTCGGTCTCGAATAGTCGCACAGATGTATGCGTCTTACATGAAACATAGCATCTATAAACGCAAGGAAGAGTTGTCGAAAACTGGCGTGCACCGTTAGATACTTACTGTTGGACTTCACGACTCTACTGCAAGTCTGTTGAAGACGCTTTTCTTCAGGCCGTTATCTTAAAACGTCGTGGCGAAAGCGGAGACAGAACCTTCGCCGTATGTGCGCTACTTCTGAGGCGGGCTTCTTATAGGGTGCGCTGTAATCTCCTACTGCCATGACAACCGATGTAATTTTTCATCAAGTTCAGCCGGTGATTAATTTAAAACTATCGCGCGGCAGGAACGCGTGGGAAAGGGACCACCAGGGTGGCCACCGACCAAATCATGTAAATATGCAAGATTTTATGAATAAAGTGCAGCGAGCAGTCATGGTAATCTCCAAGCAGATCATACGGTGGCAAGGCAGTATCCATTGGCCAGAGGAGTGCTCAGTAGCCACCGAAGGCTAGGTGGCATGGCTAATGGACACACCTCTGACCAATGGATACTTCCTTGCCACCGTATGATCTGCTTGGTGATTAGTCATGGGACGTGAAGGAAATGATTACGGTAGACAGGTTGCCCCTATACTACTTGTACATGTATAGACAGGATTCGTGTTGCTTGGGCCAATGGGAAGAGTAATCAAGGGTCCACTAAAAAGTGGCCACGGCCCAGTCGGTCCTTATGCAGAGGTGGTCACTAGTACACACGGTACAAACTATCACACTGTACTTAGAAGGAAATGACAGATGAGAGCATCGTATCTTTCTTTTCTTATTAGTCTTCCAGTATACAAGTAACAGGACCATAAGCTCTGTACTTGTAGGGAACAATGGGAACAACTTTGGTCAGTGGGATATTGGAGTCGTGGGTGAGCTGCAACAATTCCTGTTTATTCGTGTACACTATACTGTAGGTCAACATCAGTCACTGTTACTATGCTTTATATAATTCAACTTGAAAATTGTAAAAATGTTTCACAACAAGAATATTTAAAGCATTTCTATCTTAATCACATGTAAACAATGTCTTACCCTGCTTTGCACTGACAGTGAACAGGCAAAAGGCAGAAGCTGCTTGTACTGGTGTTGACATCTGAGGAAGTAAAAATGCTTTCTCTATACAAACATGTTGACCTCTACCTATACTTGCACAGTTTCTATGACAGCTATACACTGATTCCTGAGCTAAGGACTGACTGCAAGGGCATCCAGCTCCAGACAGCAGATGCCTTCAGTTGATTCTACTATATTTTACACTGCCCTAACATCATTGCAAAGAAAAATATTTGAGGTGGTAAAATGACAGTTTGAACAAAGGTTGCCCGGCCCCATTCTACATTGCAGGATCACTGGTGTATAAATGTTTGTACCTGAAACTTAACACCATATCAAATATCTGAACTAGGCATTGTCTATGCTTACAAGCAAATGTGATATGTTTTGTTATGTTATGTTATACATATACTTAAAGACATAGAGTGCAGCAATACGTAACACTATACATGCCTCCCATATACACGTTGTACATATTCACAGCTATCTATTACAAAGTTTCCTATCAATTACAAACTATAGTTCTCTTTTATTTTTTTTCTTCTTTACAATATACATGTACAAGTTTAATATACCCTGATGTTTGTATGGTCAAGTGAAAATAAACAGTCCTTTTATCTATTGTACAAAGTGATTAATGTTACTAAATCATCCCTTAGAGCTGAAACAGGCCCACACACAAGAGCTGGAGGGAAAGAAATTAACAAAGAAATGATGACCTTCCTTCACTTTCAAAATGTTACAAGACTGAATCTAGATACTAGCACAATATGGTAAGCTCTCTGATATGTAAGAAACACTTCATTCTACATATAAACTAAACTTGTAACACCACATGGCCACCTAGAACACTGACTTCTTGACAAATTTGGCTACTAGTATTTCTTTCTCGTGTTACATGTCTCTTTCTGAAAATAACACTCCAATACATCATGTCATTAGGAAAGCAGTTCTATTAAGACTTAGTCATCAGTCTTGTTTATAAATTATCTGAAGATAACAAAGCTCTAGGAAAATTAACAAAAAAATGTCAGGAAGAATCAGAAAAAGAAGTCAAGTTGAATCAGGCCAACAACTTCATTGATGTCATTGAAGAACCTGTCACATTCACATGGCACCTTTCATAATACATGTACAGGCTAAATTGTCTGCTATGATGACAGTTGACACAGTAGAGGTTGCCTTGTGTTACGTCCACGTGTATGTAGTATTGCTGTAAAGGGAGGCTTGTGTAGCAGGCCACAGGAATAGAAGGAAAAGTACCAGTCCTGCCACATATAACACAGACAGGAGGACTGCCCTGAGTTTGCTCCCTGTAAAAACATCCCCAAAGTTGGGAAACCCCATCTCATTGCAAAAGGCATGGCAGAAGTAGGGGCCGATCAGGTGACCTGAGGAAAGACAAGTCAGTCTGTCAATTTTATTTCACTGTGTGCCATAAGTTGACACACCAATGTGAGGATATGATCATAGCCACACTAGACACAGATGGAGGCTTTTTGTGGGTGAGACGAATGAAAAGTACACATTAAATACATTAAATAATGTACAAATAAGAAAAACTCAACAATATAAGAATAACTCTTTAAGAGTTGGAAAAAAACTACTTCATTTTCTGCTATTAAGCACAGCTAAAGCAATTTGTGATTTCTTCCTCACAACATAACAAGATCAAACAACATCAAGGGAAATTGTTCACTGTAATACTCCACTTTGTAATCACATCCTCGCAGAGGAAAGCTCTCTGTTCCTGTTGTCATGAGTAAATCCAGCGATGACGCAGACCTTCAGACTAAGGTAGATTATCAGGACTACTCTATTTAACATGTAAAAGTGCAGAGTAAGATGTCTGATCCAGCCTGAGAGACCACCCACCTGTTCTGACAAACAGAAAGGCTGTGTACGCCCCGAACACCGTCGTGTAGGAGAACTGGAACACTGGGGGAAATATGAATAAAACACAGGTGACTTAACTTACCTACAAGTATACCAACCCAAGGATTACATAGAGCAGGCATAGCAGCAATCAATAGTACATATACTGCATACAAAACAGGAATAACACATTTTTCTGCGACAACTGATAATAAGAAAGTTGTGTGAATGTCTAATTGAGTGATAATTGTCTACTGCAATGGTCTGTTTTTTTCTATAACATGCTTTAGGACACCCACAGAGTCAAAAATGTGATGAAGAGAAGGATGGATAAATTGGGTAATAAACTTACTTGTAAGCATCCATATAACCTTGACACTTTGGTCTCCAGTTTTCAACCTCTCAAATACATGATGAATATGTGCTGATAGGTGGAAATAAACAACACATGAATGCATGTCAAAATAGAGTAAAAAACATATCTGTAATGAATGGATACTGTTTTCAAATTTCTTAGAAGTCAACTTGAACTCATCTTCACATACAAAACAAAAATGATCGGCAGTGTATGGATAGATGTAGGAGTAGGTAATTCTTTAGAAGAACAAACTATATATGAAATCATTAATTACCTGTAAAAACAATAATACATGTAACTCCTTTCCATTTGCAAATACAGTATTACAGAAAAAAGCTCCCTATTGTACAGATACCGCTAGATGCAGAAACAATACCTTATGAAATCATGAACAATCACCTCAGATAGACATCAATATCAAAACACTGACAACCAAAACCATGAGGAACAAAATAACCTGTACCATTAATACTTGAAGATTCTATTGTCCTTACCAACACCGAAGAAGAGAGGACAGACGACCACGGCCAGCCCAGGCCCCAGGCAGGGGATGAGCAGGGGCAGCATGCAGGCACGGAACACAAACTCCTCCGTGAAGGGAGCCTGGAACAGGAGGGCAGCAGGTCAGGGCTACTGGTGGGTGGTGATATGGTACTGGTTCTGTGTATTGTCTGATGTTACAGATGTCCCAAGACTGGTCATGATCTACTTGTAAAATGTAATAAATTTCTAAAGAAAAATTGTCTCTTGTGATATCAGAAACCAGTAACAGATAACTACTATGACAGTAAAAAAATTTTTAGGTGACCTCCTAGCAGCAAAACTAGTTACTGACTGGCATATTGACTGACTAGTTTTTACAAGCTCAAACACACTGGAAATAGAGTTTCTCATTACTGAGCTTCCAGCACTTTTATGACCATCATTCAACTATCTGTGCAAATCAGTTGTATGGACCTTAAAGGTTTCTTTTTCACTAATGGAATACTGATAGATCTTGTAATTACATTTAACCAGCTTCTAGGCTGCCCCCCTTTATATAAGTTAGGATAGGAGCACATGCATTGCATTTACACACAGTACAAAACACAGAAAAAGAGAAGGCACCGCACAAACCACGATGAAGTTTCTCAACCACAGCACATCTCTGTACCGGTACTTTATGTACATCATTCCTGTGGGATACAGAAGAAGCACAAAACATAATTGTTAGAAATAATTTCATTCTGATATTTGCTGCACATGTCATCATTTACATCAGTCTGACAAGAGACCACCTATAAAACATGTATTCTGAACCTTTTGATCTAGGGATCTTTCTAACACTATACCATATGCAGAGATGTACAGCCCACGATAGGGCAGTGACACCTGTAATGTTTGGCTCGCACGCTTAAGTGCCTGGGAGGTCCATTATCCTGATCACAGTAACACACTGGGTCTTACTGCTGAGTCCTCCAGGATGATGTTAAGTACCTTTGGGGGTTGATTCTGTAATGCCAGGGACTTTCACTGTACAGATCATTTGTCTCTTTAGATCTTTATCACCTTCTCAAAGTTAGGGTGGGGATTTTGTAACGCGATAAATGCTGTGTTCACTACTCTGATTTGTGTGGTATTGCAAAACATAACATTTTTGACAACAGACAATTCTTTCTTGACAAGTTAGTGCTACAAAATGTTTTTTTTCTTTGCCCTTCACCTTTCACATTTCTCTGGGAATGTAACATAGAAACACACTGATCACATGCCAGAGCTTGTTGCTCTGAATGAAGCCACTAATCAGGCAAAACAACATGATGACGTCATCCTCTGCATGTAACCAGGCAACAAAACCTTTAATCTGTTTGGCCATCCACAGAGAGATTTTCCTGTGGGTTTATTAATATGGCAGCCAGATTTTACAGCTATGATGTAAGATAAAGGATATCTGACATTCAATGACTATGTCTGGTGTCAATTTTGATCATTTCTGAGCATCTCTATTTCAGTACAAAACAAAAATAATGTTATATATCTAAGCAAATAATATCATACCATTTTGTGTTATATTGTGATTACACCAAAATCCACCGTACCAAAAATTATACAACTTACCCCAGTTCAAAAAATAAAGATCTCTGTTAAAAAAAACAAAACTAATTGTCATATCATATCTTTCTGATCTATGGAGGAGGGAGACCCCCATGATCGGCTCACTAATTTCCTCTCTCCGGAACAAGCAGTCATTACAGACAGCTGCCAATCATCCTGCCTTTAATGAATCTGGAGACGTCCAACAGTCCTTCATTACTTTCCTTTCTAGGACACTTTTTGGAAGCAGCTGGTCCCCAGCTCCTTTAATGATTTCTTAATGAATTTGGCGAGTAACAGCATGTCATCTTCTGTGCTTTCAGAAAACCACTCAAGCCAAATGTACTGCAGGTGATTGAGAAGTTTCAAGATTTTTTTAAATCACTACTGTAACTTTGCTCTCCTTTGCTGTAAAGGTGACATTGCCTCTGGAAAAGTGGCTGTCATTTTTATTAAGGAAAGAAACAGGCTCTAATTGTGCAGTTTGTGCAGGGTTCAAACCGGCAGTGACAGCTCTTACTTAGTCTTACATTTCCATCCATGATGGCTTATGATGAGTGCTCTTTGAATGCAGACATTTCCCTGGGACCCACAAATTCCACATCCATCGAACAAAGCTTTCATTTAACAAACTCAGTCCTATGAGGGTTTTCCAGTTTGACTCATGTCCCATCATGTTAAGGTTGACTTGGCATTATTAAGCAACACTTATGAGACTTTTAACTCGTGCCATGGAGTCATTAGTGTTGACTGTATCCACCAACAAATTTACCTGCCAACAAGCATGAAGCAGACCAGAGAGGGCCCAGCAGGACCCTTATCATAATGGTACAGGATAATTAGTCCTTCTCTTGACATTGCCGGGAGCAAATCTATGCCCTCTCCTGTGGTACGGGCTGCAGTGCTTTTATCAGCTTGTAGGGGATTTGTGCACAGCCCTATTTATCACCAGGCACGAGCTGGGATAATGTAGCTAACAACCTCTGCATCTGTGCTGGCTTCTCCCAACCCCAGGATGAAATAAGTGGAAGGTATAAGAATTGTATCATTAGGACCATGCAGAATTGCAGATGTACTGGCCTGGGGTAGGGTATTAATCAGATGGGGTGCAAAACTTACTGTCCTTTTACCTTTCACTACTCGGACTATGATTATCAGATAACATTAGGAAGTTATATTTTGTACAGTTTGTACATTGTACATGTATTTCATCCATGAAGCCATGAATCAATCAAGCAACATAATATCTGAATACTGTAATACCAAATCACAATAAAAATTGCTAGCTGTACAGAAGTGTGTACGTCTATGTTTTTTTTCACATTCAATATTGGGAGAAAATGAAGAGCTAATTTGTGGACCAAAATGAGAATTTCCCACCAAACTTACCCCTAGTTATAGGAGAGTAACAGCTTCCATCAGTCAGGCACATGGCAATGGGCCCAAGGAACAGCAACTACAAGTACACATTCCAACAAAACATGTTTTACATTAGGCCACACCAAGTAAATTTTATGGATGACGTCCGCGCGCGCATTGATTTTGGCCTGTTCCTAGGAAAAAAAACAAGAAATTCTGCTTCCTGTAACTATGACCAAAGAGTCACGACAGTGCCGCAAATCATCAGATTGACGTGAAACCCGTAACACGAAAACAGGACAGGACAACAACTGCTGTTCCGCCTGATTTATTGCTGTTTTGATGATGAATAAAAGACTTCTTGCTTGTTACACTGTGTCACCTCATTCAATTTGTGTCCTAACATTTGTCGTCTCTTAGTATATTTCTAATCTAGGCATCTTGTTTTTTAGGGCCTTTCTTGTTTTTTTTCGCCCTCTCGCATTAGATTTAGGGTCTCCAAAGGACGTCATCCATAAAATTTACTTGGTGTGGCCTTAGCTTACAGCACAGAACATGGTATGAACAAACCTAAAGTGAAGTGTTTATAAATATAAATCATCCATATCAAGCTTGATACTGAATGTTTATTATCACTATAGAACAGTCAAGGATCCAGCTTAGTTCAAAATTATCAAAATGGTCTGATTATTCTTCATTATTTCTACAACACTGAACAGTAACTTATAGCTATGATATAAGCAACAAGACTGTCTTCTGGTTCATTACATCACTTCACATTCACAACACCTATTCATCTGATAATATGATCCACCGCCATATCTTAATTGAAGTGATTACGATTAATCATAACTTCTGCTG